AAAAAGAATGAGATCCAATCATTTGCAACAACATAGATGCAACTGGAGACCATTATGTTAAGTGAAATAAGTCAGGCACAGAAAGACAGGATTTACATGTTTTCACTTATTTGTGAGTTCTAAAAATCAAAGAAACTTAACTCATTTCATAATCCCCATTCTTCCACTATCCTTCCCAGCCTCTTGTAACTATGTGAGTATAATTTCTCTAACAGAGATTAGAGTTACCAGAGGCTGGGAAGGGTAGTGAGAGGATGAGGGGTATCTAGGGTGCTTAATGAATAAAAAAATAGTTGAAATTAAAAAGACCTACTATTTGATAGGAAAACAGGGTGATTATAGTCATTAATAATTGAATTGTCCATTTTAAAATAACTAAAAGAGTAAAACTGGATTGTAACTCAAAGGATAAATACTTGAGGGGATGAATATTCTATTCTTCATGAGGTGGTTTTTACACATTACATGCCTGTATCAACACATCTCATTTACTCCATAAATAAGTACACCTACTATGAACCCTCAGAAATTAAAAATTAAAGAAAATAAATTAAATTTCAGAATAGAGTCCCTTTACGGTAAACCTTATAAAAAATAATGTGAAATCCTTACTCTTACATTAGAACAGAATAGAAAACACATAAATAAAGCTACATGCCTATGACCAACAAATCTTTGGCAAAGTTATACACTTTGGAAAGGACACCCTATTCAAAAAATGGTGCTGGGAAAATTAGTTTGCCATAAGGAGAAGGATGTAATTGGGCCCCTATTTCTCACTAAATATCAAAATTAACTTAAGATGGATTAAAGACAAATGTAAGACCTAAAACCATAAAATAATAGAAGAAAACCTAGGAAAAATTCTCACACTGGCCTAGGCAAATAGTTCATGCTAAGACCTCTAAAACAAATGCAACAATAGCCTGTGACAATTAAAATTTTGCCCAATTTTTAATGGGGTTATTTGTTTTGTTTTATTTATTTGATTGAGTTTTTTATAAACTCTGGATATTAGCTCTTTTCTGAATACAGGGTTTGCAAATATTTTATCCCATGCTGTAGGGTGTCTGCTTACTCTCTTAATTATTTCTTTGCTGTGCAGAAACTTTTTAGTTTAATTAAGTCCCACTTATCTTAAGGTTTTTTGCAAAAATCACAATCTAGATGTAGATCTTACACCATTCACAAAAGTGTTTATAGAACTGAATGTAAAACACAAAACCATAAAACTCGGAGAAGATAACAGAGGAAAAAATATAGAAGATCTTGGCAATGCTTTTTCAAATACAACAGCAAGTGTACAATACATGAAAGAAAAAATCAACAATCTGAACTTCGTTAAACGAAAAGCTTTTACTCTGTAAAAGACACTATCAAGGGAAGAAGTCAAACTAGAAAAGGAAAAATAGTTCCGAAAGATACATCTTATAAAACCCTGTCATCCAAAATACTCAAAGAACTCTTAAAGCTCAACGATAAAAAATTGAACACCCTTACTAGAAACATGAGCAAAAGATTTGAACAGACATCCCACCCAAGAAGACAAACAGATGTCAAATAAGCATGAAGACCGTTCAACAATATACATCATTAGGGACCTGCAAACGAAGACAACAATGACACATACCTTTACAAAAATGAACATCTAAGGCATTGATAAAACCAAACGTTGGCAAGGATTTGAAGCAATGGGAACTATTAGTTATTGCTAGTATGAATGCAAAATGTTACAGACTACTCTAGAAGAGAGTTTGGTGGCTTCTTACAAAACTAAATCGTGCTTACCATATGATCCAGCAGTTGTGCTCCTTGATATTTGCCAAATGAGTTGAAAACTTATATCCACACACAAACTTGCACATGGACATTTATAGCAGATTTATTCATTATCAAAATTGGATGCAACCATGATATCCTTCACTAGATGAATAGAAAAACTGTGATACATCAATGCAAGGGAATATTACTGTATTGCTACTTAGTGGTAAGAAGAAGTGAGGTTTTGAGCCATGAGAAGACAGAGAGAAACCTTCTGCATATTAGTAAGTGAAAGAAAACTCATCTGAAAAGGCTACATAGTGTGTGATTCCAACTCTAAAACAATCGCTTATAGTAAAGGCAAAACTATGACAACACTAAAGTGAACTATGGTTCACTTGTTACCAAGGACTTGCGGGGAAAGGAGAGAATAGGCAGAACTCAGAAAATTTTTAGGACAGTGACTGTATTTGGTAAGATGCTACAATGTTGGATATATGGCATTATACATCAGTCAAATTTATAGACTGTACAAAACAAAGAGTGAACCCCATGTAAACTTTGAACTTTGGTTGATGATTATGTCTCATTGTTGGATTACTGACTATAAGTAATCAACCCCATTGACAGGGGTTGTTGACCGTGCGAAAGACTGTAGGTGCTAGGAAGGGGTTTGTGGGAACTGTGTTCTTTCCACTTAGTGTTGCTGGGAGCCCAAAATTGCTATAAAAATAAATTATATTAACAAAAAAACCCACTCTAACTCACAACTCTGGCAAAATATTTCACTGAACCAGCAAGCAGGAATACTGGAATTCTAATACAAAATCTTTTACTGATGCATTAATAATGCTCTAACTGACTGAGTCACCAATTGCTCATTCCTGAAAAACAAAGCCAATGTTAGACTAGTAGATCTCAGAGATCCCATCTGTCTTTAAATTATCTATGTCCCTTTTATAAAACAAAGGTCAAGGCAGGAGCCTCAGCTCAAGAGAAGAAATGAGGAGCAGAGTAAGGATAGCTGTCTCTCAAGGAATAAAATTATTGCTCTAAAGAGAGAATGAGCTTATTTTAACCAATTAAACTAGCTTATACCTATGTGAGTGGGGCAGTAAATTACTGCCTCCCTTTGCCCTAGATAAAGGGTTCATCAGGACCTGGATTCACTCATTTTTAAAGGTTATGAAACCAAACACATGTGACCCACATTTTACTCAACTGGTGCTAGAATTATTAGCTAAATTAATGTTTATTTTAAAAGTCACTGCTTAGATTAATCCACAAGTATTGAACTTTAGTAAATCTTGGTGCCCTAGTTTTACTGAATGTTTTGCTTAGATGGAAGGCAGCAAGATGCATGGGGTTATGGTTTCCAGCCCCAGCTTGGTCACCTGCATTCTGTGTGTCCTTAGCTAAAGTTCTAAATCTCCATGATCTAACTTTCTCCTCTCTAAACTGGGAATAATTTTACAATGGGAAAAGGTAATTGAAAGAATAAAAGAGACGTGACGAATATGAAAATTCTCTGTAAATTTGTCATAATCTCTGTAAGCATAATCCATAAGACATTGTGTAACTGGGTCTTAATATTTTCTTAATGAAAGGGCTGGAAATAACTGTACTGTTCAATTTAGAATAAATGTAATCTTTTCAGAGCATGCCTTTGTACACACATTTTGTCATTAGTGATCTAGTAATGTTTATAAATCCAGTCATATTAAGTCCTTCATGACCATTGACAATCAGTTCCCATTCAGATTTGCACATTGCAGTTGTTCTGTGCCCTGGGTTCAGTCAATGATTTCCCTACATTCCATCTTCCATTGAATCCACAACTGTTGTTCTGTGTATAATTTCTTGTTCTTGCTGCATATGATTACATTCTATTATTTGTGACAATAACAGACGGAAAACAATAGAAGCAGTCATGTCTGAAGGTGACTGAGAGGTGAAGAAGCCATAGATTTTCAATGCCATAAATTATGTGAGATTGGCCCTTTCCTTAATAGTGTTGAAGAACTTTAACTTGTGAGGTGATGCAGAGAGGAGAACCCTAATTTTCATTTCTTCTTTTGGGCATCTCTGGTCCTTCTTTCCTTATAGACAAATAATGAGCTCCTATTTAATGTGAAGCCTGTTGCTTTCTGAAGAGTCAATGTGGTGTATCTTCAGAGTAACTAATGTCTGGGTTCTCTTTTTTGTTTTTTTAAATTGTTCTTGAACCACCTCTCATGTAAGTGATAATGCACCCAAATGGGCATCAGAAAATCTCTGCTCATATGCCAGTTTTATCAGCTGTGAGCTGTGTGACACTGACAGCTGTCCTGTACTCCCAAAGTTTCTTTCCCCATTTGAAAAATAAAAATGATCATCTCTATATTTCAGTGGTTTTTCTTAATGATGAATATATATTTATATGTATATCATGTTATATATTTAATAAAAATATAAATATGTATTTATGTTATAATTATGTAATAATATTTGTAACGCTCCCTAATACTTCAGTGTGTGTTTCTTTCACATGTAAAGTAAGCAATCGCCTATTATTACAATAATGTAATAAGAACATAAATAGTATTATGTAATAACATAAAAACATGCTTATATTATTTATGTACAGTTAAGTGTATAAAATATACATTTATTAGTTAATAATTTTATATATGTTTGGCCATTCAATATGTATGAGTTATATTCACTATTTCATGTTTAGGCAGCTGTATTTTAAGTGAACTTTACTAAATATTTGAAAGGCTTTTGTTATCAAGGGGTAAGTCTCCTATTTTTTGATGTAGCATTACAATGTACATTTTTTATATAGAACATATAGAATACACTGATTTCCCTCAAAGTCATAAATTCCCAACTAATCATTCATCTGAGAATATTGAATTTTGAGTATATTCTAGCATAGAATCATTTGCTTCAGTGCTTCTACTTCATCACAGCACATTAGAACACCCAGCGTCTTTTATTTTAATTACCAGTACCTGGGCTCCAATACAATGCAATTAAACCAGAATCTTCTAGATTGGCACTGGAAAGAAGGAGAAGAACAGAAAAACATTTGATCTCTATCCATGAGCCAAAGTCCACTGGGAAAAAAAGCACAAATTGGATCTAGATGATTGCTTACTTTACATGTCAAAGAGACACAATGAATCAGCAAGGGAGTGTTATAAAAGCCTGGCAGTGCAAGCTCATAGTTGTCTTAGTAAGAAGAGTAGGCTTCAATGGATCCTTTTGTGGTCCTGTTGCTCTGTCTCTCTTTTTTGCTTCTCTTTTCACTCTGGGGACAGAGCTCTGGGAGAGGGAAGCTCCCTCCTGGCCCCACTCCTCTTCCTATTATTGGAAACATCCTACAGATAAGTGTTAAGGACATCGGCAAATCTTTCAGCAATGTAAGTATGCTTTATTTTCCCCCAGTCGCTTGCAAAGGGTAAGTTATTTGACTGTTATTTTTAGATAAAATGTCTTCCTAAAAGCAACAGATCATTGTACAGCAAAATACGGCCTCTGAATTTTGATGTTTCTTTTGTCTTTTTAAGTCTGTCGTTGTCAAAAATAGTGGAGTAAACTGATGCATTTTGTTGATACATAAACATTGGGACCACTGTATGATAGAATCAGGTAACACAGTGGCAAAAGTTTGAAGTGTTGTTTCACTTCTTTGCTTCACAGTGTTTTTCTATGACTTTTGACTGAAGAGACGTGTGTGTGATTAGAAATTTCACCCAATAAGTCCTCTACTATAGTAGTCCTGTGTTTTTTTCAGAATAGCCATGAAAATTCAACTTCTCTGAAGATTCATTTGATGCCTGATGTGAAGTAAAAGTATCTATAGGTTCAGGACAAGCATAGGTGCATGTAATAAAGAAGTAAATAGTCAGGGTCCAATTAGTGGTAACAGAATTCTTCTGGATTCTGCACAAAGCTGTTGACTGTAGCCAAGGTTGCTGGAGAATGGAAAAAATGGTTCATCCAGGAGATGCTGAATGTCCTGATTCTACCTTTGTGTAGAATGCTTCATGTTTCTTTATTGGTAATACTCAGCAGTTACAAACTGAACTGGGCATTAGAATCACTTGGGGTGACACTGAAAATACAGATTTCTAGGGTTCATCGCAGGACTGCTGAGTCAGAATCCTCATGGTAAGAGCTTTACAGGTGACCTTGAAGTCCTTAGCTGGGTATTGGCCTCAAGGTGGACATGAAGGAGTGATAAATTGCTCAAGCATCGGAGTTTAAATTAGCAGAGGTTTAAGTTTGGAGCTTCCATATATTACCTGTTGGACTCAGAATTAATTTGGAATTCTCTGGCCTCAGTTTCTTCATTTTTTAAATGGGGTAAATGAATGTGCTGAATGTGTTGAAGTGAGGATTAACTGTGATTTGTGTACCAATTGTCTGGGTCATTCCATGTCACATCATAGGCTATCTATAAGTAGCAGCTATAACAATCACCATCACATTCCTTACAAAATTCAGAAATATCCAATCTATGTGTGGCAAATATAAACATAAAGATACAATGATAATATCAGTCTGAATCACACATAATATTTGGAGCAAAATTGCAACTTAGTTTGCTGCTATTTGCATTTTCTTTCCCAGCTCTCAAAAGTCTATGGTCCTCTGTTCACCGTGTATTTTGGCACGAAGCCCGTAGTGGTGTTGCACGGATATGAGGCAGTAAAGGAAGCCCTGATTGATAATGGAGAGGAGTTTTCTGGAAGAAGCATTTTCCCAGTATCTCAAAGAACTTCTAAAGATCTTGGTAGGTTTGCATGTGCCTGTGTCAGCTTTGGTAACTGGGATGAGGAGGATGAAAAACAGAGACTTAAAGAGCTTCTCCACAGAGCTTAGCCTATCTGCGTGGCTGCCGAGTGTTGTAGCTCTTTCTTCCTTGGTTGTGAATTCTCCCAGTTTCTGCCCCCCTGTTTTTTTTTTGTTGTTGATGTTATTAGGAATCATTTCCAGCAATGGAAAGAGATGGAAGGAGATCCGGCGTTTCTCCCTTACAACATTGCGGAATTTTGGGATGGGGAAGAGGAGCATTGAGGACCGTGTTCAGCAAGAAGCCCGCTGCCTTGTGGAGGAGTTGAGAAAAACCAAGGGTGGGTGACCCTGCATCACTGACCTTAACAGTCAGCTGTCTTCCCTAATGACATGCTTGGAAACATTTCAGGGGTGGCCAGATCTTCATTGTGCATCCTGGTTGTCAGCCCTCAGGTGGTAGAAGCAGGTTTGAAGCACAGAGGCAAGGGAGGTTTTGTGTATCTGTGCTTTGCCTGTACAGATGTGTTTGTTCATATGGTGTAGGGATAAAAGACCATTTAATCCTATTTTCTGCTCAATTTTGTTTCCTGGTTTCCAAATCAGAAATTATACCTAAGGGTATTGAGTTCGCTTTTGAAAAGAGTTAAAGAAGGTTTCCCCATAGCATAAATCTGTGTTACTGCCACCAGAACATTTCACCTGAGAACACTTGGAAAGTGGACATGATGAAAATGACCCCGTTGCACTTTTATGAAACATGAACTAAGTGACATGTGCTTTCATTTAATTAGTGTTTTTTTCATATGATAAGACTCACATGTCTAAGAATTCCTTCCAGGTCCATGCCTTCAGCTCTAGCCAGCAATGACACTATGTATGCTTTTACTTTCTTAGGTATATCTCAGTACAGTTCTCATCAATTCTTATTTCTCAGGAAACATAGTCCTATTTGAAAACTGTCAGGATGAATTACTTCTTGTTAACCACTACTTACTGCAACAATTTATGTGTTGGGTTAATATGTTCTATAGTATAACTCAGCAAAATATACAAATACTAATTTGTAAATAATTTGTTTAACTAGATTTTAACTATTATGAAAAACTCTTTATCCTCTCTTCCTTAAATGTAACTAGGCTATGTTTTCAGTTTTGCTCATCTTTTTTCCCCTGTAGTGGATCTTAGCTTTGAAATTTGTGATAATGATTTTTGTCCCACTGCCAATCCTATTCACCTATGAAGTACTAGTTGTAATCAATATCATTATCAGCTGGGATATCAAATTACCTTTTTCAATTTATTCTCCCAAATGCAATGACAAAAAACCCTGAAAAACAGATTGTACTTGAGAATCTCACACACACACACACACACACACACACACACACACACACACACACACACACACTCACCAAGGCTTCCCACATTACCTTTCCTCCCTTTGGCTAAAACAACACTTTTTCTGAAACTTTAGAGCCCTGTAATGTTTAAAGGAGCCTGTCATAGAAGTAGCTAACTCAGTAGGTTTCCTGTTTTCAATGTTCCAACTTTATTCCGAACTCTTTCATTTCATGTCACCTTTATTTAGGAGCTATAGATGTGAATTTGGGAGTCCTTTCCATTAATGTTCACTAGTCTCTTGGTTACAGAATTTCATTTTAGAGATTCCCTCACCAAAAAACAAAAACCTTTTAAATAATTTCTGTACCTGTCACATGATAGACTTGGCCTAACTTATGGTCAAATTAAAAACTGTATTAAAACATACTTATCTTAATGACTATACTGAATAATATCCCGGAATCCACAAAACAGTAGTTTTGCCCAAATGAATTAAAATTTGAGGATGTTTGGAAATGATAAACATTTTTTCGTAAGGAAGGAAATTCATTTTTTTACAAATTGAAAAAAGAAATAAAAAGATTCCATTTATCAATTTACTTTTTGGTTAGCCTTACTGGAATTTAGATTTGAAATAAAAAGTTATCCATTTTACTTCTTTAGATAAACAAATCCATGTTATACTTAATGCTCATTTATATTAGTTTTTCTTCTCATATCACATGGATGTATCTGCTTTTCACATTTGTTCCCTCAAACACATGCATTCACTTGCAGTCTCCCTAACTTTATTTCTATTGGTTCAGCCCACAATGCTTTCAGCTATTCATTATATATTAGACGTTTCCAGGTCCCCAACTTTTCTCTTCCTATCTCTGTGCTTTATCGTCCGGAGACTTTGCAGACAGATATGATTCTTCTCTAAAAACTTGAATTATTTGGATTTTGAAAAAGTCTTCTTTTTCCTTCCAAAATAAAAGACACCTTTGGTTGAAAGAGTTTAAGTAAAGGCAGTGGATGTGAATTACCACATGTGAAGTGACATTGTTTAGCTAGATAGTAATGCACAACTCATATTTAAGGTAAAAATGATATGTTGATTTCATTCATGTTGATTTTTTCTTTTGGACATATGAGGAATTTGTAAGATATTGTTTAAAATTTATAAATTTCCTTTATGTATTGATAAATGCATATCTTTTAAATATTTACATTTTAATTGTATTTTAAAATTGTTTTTAAATCTTTAGCCTCACCCTGTGATCCCACTTTCATCCTGGGCTGTGCTCCCTGCAATGTGATCTGCTCCGTTGTTTTCCAGAATCGATTTGATTATAAAGATGAGAATTTTCTCACCCTGATGAAAAGGTTCAATGAAAACTTCAAGATTCTGAGCTCTCCATGGATCCAGGTAAGGCCAAGCTTTTATGTTCCTGGGAAACCACCTATGCTCTTTTTTCTGATTAAGTCCAAAATTCTATATGGTGGTTTTTCAAGGCATGAAGTACATGTTTGAACACCACAGTCCTCAGAAATTTATGAAGTGAACATCTAGGAAAGATGACCAAGCCTTTTATTTTACACACTGAAAATGAATGCCCTAATACAGGGGTTGTTTTAAGTCTATTGGCTTCCTGACCAGTGGTTTATCCACTAAATCCCAAAGCCTGTTTTGATCAACTACTTTGGTGACAGCCCAAAATCATGCCCATATCACTCCATGGACATCTGGGGCCTTTCTGAAGACCTTCATCACTCAGTAGGCTTATCCTCCAATCCACACTTACTGACGTCTTCTTCACATTACTTTGCAGAAATGTCCTAATTTAGGGAAAGAATATCTCATCAAAAAGGGAGAATATTTGTGACCATAGAAGGTGCCAGGAAACAGTGATTAGGGCAGGGGTGTTTGATGCTTCAGCTGAGATCCTGGCTGATGAGGTAGCTGGGTTAGGAATGACAAAAAGGGTTGGCGTTATGATGTATGAACCATAAACAAACATCCAAAGTTTACCCTGTGCTGTGTTGGCATGCCCTACACTCTGCCTAAATAATAATTGTGTGAACTTAGAGAAATCACTTAAGATGCGCAGTTGAGTTTTAAGGTATCTTTGAGCTGCTCCCACTTCTAAAACACTGACTCCATTTTCAAAGCTACTTGACAGGAATAAAAAATTTGTGTGATCTTAGAGAAATCACCCAGGTGCACAGTTGGGTTTTAAGGTATCTTTGAGCTGCTCCCACTTCTAAAATACTGATTCCATTTTTGAAGCTACTTGACAGAAATAAAAACAGTGGGCTCTAGCTTTGTGTTCTCCATCAGTTGCCCAAACTCCCTTAACCTCTGGAATCATCAACTAAATATAAATCATAGTAATTCATGCCATATTATATTTCAAGTTTGTAGGGAAGACTTGGTTTAAAAATGAGAAAATTGATATAGAAATACTTTTATACAATAAAAATGATGTATGAATGAAGAAACTAATTATTATCTTTGATTCCCTGGCCAAAATTTTCTCCCTTCAATCTTTAGGTAGAGAGAATTGCTGTACATATACAATAAAAATTTCCCCATCAAAATGGATACAATATTCTATTCATATTTATAGCTACAATTTCTAATCAGGGCTTGGTGGAAGATACATACGCCTTATGACCTGTTTATATTTAATAATTTTTTCTCTTTTAGTTCTGCAATAATTTCCCTCTCCTCATGGATTATTTCCCAGGACCTCACAACAAATTGTTTAAAAATGTTGCTCTTACAAAAAGCTATATTTGGGAGAAAATAAAAGAACACCAAGCATCACTGGATGTTAACAATCCTCGGGACTTTATCGATTGCTTTCTGATCAAAATGCAGCAGGTAAGATATTAGCAACAGCTCAGCATTTTGATTTCTTGTTCATTGTGTGATTCATCAAATCCTTCTGTAATTTACTAGGGATGTTTAAATGGTCAGGCCAGCAATGTTTGACAGGCATCTTATTACATACTGTGTTTGTGAACCTGCACCAAACATCATGTAAAATATAAAACTGTCAAATGACTAGACCCTATCTTTTGGAAGCATTGCCATATTAACAATTTTGTTTCTTTCAATCCTTTGACCTTTCATGGTTTTCCATTTATTTAGGTATTTCTTATTTTTTTTAAGCAACATTTGAGTTTTCAGTCTTTTATCTTCTTGGTTGTAGATTCTTAGGAATTTTGGCCCTTTTGATGCTATTGCAAATTTAATTATTTCCTTGATTTTATTTTCATATTGCTCATTGCTGATATAAACAGACACAACTGATATCTATCGATCTTACACAGTAAAATTAAGTTGAAAACATTTATCAGCGCCCGTTTTTCTTTTTGTGGGTTGTATGGACTTTTATTTATATAGAACTGTTCTTTTAAAATAGAAATAGTTTTACATCTTCCTTTCTTACCCCTTTATTTCTCTTTCTTGTCTAATTGTTTTGGCTAGGACTTAAGTACTGTGCTGAACAGCAGTAGTGAAATTGCATACACTTGGATCATTTCCCCCTGATTTGGAGACATAAGCTTTTAGATTTTCACAATTTGATATAAAATACCTTTGAAATTTTTATACATATTACTATTATAAGGAATTTTCCTTCTATTCATATTTTTGAGTTTTTTTATCATGAAGAGTATTGAATCTTGTCTTATGCTCTCTCAGCTTCTATTAAGATGGTCGTTTTGTTAGATTTTTTCTTTCCACTTAATAAGGTGGTGTATTACATTGATTTCTTTCTTATTGAACCACCCTTGCATTCCGTGTATAGATCCCATTTAGTTATGACATATAATCATTAATTTAAAAAAAATGCATAACATACAAATTGCTATATTATTTCTCTTTCTTATCTAATAGTTTTGGCTAGGGTCTTAAGTACTATGTTGAATAGCAGTAGTGAAAGCCAATATACTTGGGTGTCTTCCCACTGATTTTAGGTCAATAGCTTCTAAATTTTCACAATTTGATATAAAATACCTTTGGAATTTTTATAAATACATTTTATTATGATAAGGAATTTACCTTATGAATATTTTTTGAGTGAATGTTTAAATTATACTTTAAGTTCTGGGATACATGTGCAGAATGTGCAGGTTTGTTGCATAGGTATACATGTGCCATGATGGTTTGCTGCACTCATCAAGCCATCGTCTAGGTTTTAAGCCCCACATGCATGAGGTATTTGTCCTAATGTTCTCCTTCCCCTTGCCCCGACCCTACAACAGGCCCCGGTGTGTGATGTTTCCCTCCCTGTGTCCATGTGTTCTTACTGTTCAACTCCCACTTTTGAGTGAGAACATGTGATGTCTGGTTTTCTGTTCTTGTGTCAGTTTGCTGAGGATGATGGGTTTCCAGCTTCATCCATGTCCCTGCATAGGACATGAATTCATTTTTTTATAGCTGTGTAGTATTCCATGGTGTATATGTGCCACATTTTCTTTATCTAGTCTATCATTCATGGGCAATTGGATTGATTCCAAGTCTTTGCTATTTTAAATAGTGCTGAAATAAACATACATGTACATAGGCCTTTATAATAGAATGATTTATAGTCCTTTGGTTATATACCCAGTAATGGGATTGCTGGGTCAAATGGTATTTCTAGTTTTAGGTTCTTGAGGAATTGCCACACTGTCTTCCACAATGGTTGAACTAATTTACACTCCCATCAACAATGTAAAATCTCTCCTATTTCTCTGCATCCTCACTAGCATCTGTTGTTTCCTAACTTTTTAATGATTGCCATTCTAACTGGTGTGAGATGGTATCTCATTGTGGTTTTGATTTGCATTTCTCTAATGACCAGTGATGATGAGTTTTTCTTTCCTATGTTTGTTGGCTGCACAAATGTCTTCTTTTGAAAAGTGTCTGTTCATATCCTTCACCCACTTTTTGATGGGGGTTTTTTTTCCTGCAAATTTAAGTCCTTGTAGATTCTGGATATTAGACCTTTGTCTAATAAAGACTACTGAGTTTTGTCTTATGCTCTCTCAGCTTCTTTTTTGATAACGATTTTGTTAGATTTTTCCTTTCCTTCTAATAAGGTGGTGTATTACATTGACTGATTTTCATATTGAACCACCCTTGCATTCCTCCTGTAGATCCCATTTAGTCATGATGCATAATCCTTAATTTTTTTTAATATATATATATATATTTTATAGTACTTTAGGTTCTGGGGTACCTGTGCAGATAATGCAGGATTGTTGCACAGGTACATACATGGCAATGTGGTTTGCTGCCTCCATCCCCCCATCACCTGTATCTGGTATTTCTCCCCATGTTATCCCTACCCAACCTCCCTATCCCCCGCTGTCCCTGATTTAGTCCCTCACAACAGACCCCAGCAAAGGGGTGTGTGATGCTCCCTTTTGTGTCCATGTGTTCTCATTGTTCAACACCTGACTATGAGTGAGAACATGCAGTGTTTGATTTTCTGTTCTTGTGTCAGTTTGCTGAGAATGATGGTTGCCAGATTCATCCATCTCCCTACAAAGGACACAAACTCATTTTTTATGGCTGCATAGTATTCCATGGTGTATATGTGCCACATTATCCTTGTCCATTCTATCATCGATGGGCATTTGGGTTGGTTCCAGGTCTTTGCTATTGTAAACAGTGCTGCAACAAAAATATGTGAGCATGGGTCTTTATAATAGAATGATTTATAATCCTTTGGATATATACCCAGTAACGGGAATGCTGGGTCAAATGTAATTTCTATTTCTAGGTCCTTGAGGAATTGCCACACTGTCTTCCATAATGGTTGAACTAATTTACACTCCCACCAACAGTGTAAAAGTGTTCCTATTTCTCCACATCTTCTCCAGCATCTGTTGTCTCCAGATGTTTTGATGATCACCATTCTAACTAATGTGAGGTGGTATCTCAATGTGGTTTTAATTTGCACTTCTCTGATGGCCAGTGATGATGAGCGTTTTTTCATATGTTTGTTGGCCTCATATATGTCTTCTTTTGAAAAGTGTCTGTTCATGTCCTTTGCCCACTTTTGAATGTTTTTTTTTTTTTTTCTTGTAAATCTGCTCTAGTTATTTGTAGATTCTGGATATTAGCCCTTCGTCAGATGGGTAGATTGCAAAAATGTTTTCCCATTCTGTTGGTTGCTGGTTCACTCTAATGATGTTTCTTTTGCAATGCAGAAGCTCTGGAGTTTAATTAGGTCCCATTTGTCTATTTTGGCTTCTGTTGCCAATGCTTTTGGTGTTTTAGTCATGAAGTCCTTGCCTATGCCTATGTCCTGAATAGTTTTGCCTAGGTTTTCTTCTAGGGTTTTTATGGTGTTAGGTCTTATGTTTAAGTCTTTAATCCATCTGGAGTTAATTTTAGTATAAGGTGTCAGGAAGGGGTCCCGTTTCAGCTTTCTGCACATGGCTAGCCTGTTATCCCAACACCATTTATTAAACAGGGAATCTTTTCCCCATTGCTTGTTTGTCAGGTTTGTCAAAGATCAGACAGTTGTAGATGTGTGGTGTTGCCTCCAAGGCCTCTGTTGTGTTCCATTCGTCTATATCTCTGTTTTGGCACCAGTACCATACTCTTTTGATTACCGTAGACTTGTAGTATAATTTGAAGTCAGGTAGCATGATGCCTCCAGCTTTGTTCTTTTTGCTTAGGATTGTCTTGGCTATGCAGATTCTCTTTTGGTTCCATATGAAGTTTAAGGTGGTTTTCTACACTTCTGCGAAGAGGACCATAGGTAGATTAATGAGGATAGCATTGAATCTATAAGTTACTTGGGCAGTATGGCCATTTTCACAATATTGATTCTTCCTAACCATGACATGGAATGTTTTTCCATCTGTGTTTTTTCTTATTTCCTTGAGCAGTGGTTTCTGGTTCTTATTGAAGAGGTCCTTTACATTCTTTGTTAGTTGTATTCCTAGGTATTTTATTATCTTTGTAGCAATTGTGAATGGGAGTTCCCTTTTGATTTGGCTGTCTGTTTGTCTGTTATTGGTATATAGAAATGCTTGTGATTTCTGCACACTGATTTTTTTTATCCTGAGACTTTGCTGAAGTTGCATATTAGTTTAAAGAGAGTTTGTGCTGAGACAAGGGGGTCTTCTAAATATACAATCATGCTGTCTACAAATAGAGACAATTTGACTTCCTCCTTACCTAATTGAATACCCTTTATCTTTTCTTCTTGCCTGATTGCTCTGGCTAGAAATTCCAATACTATATTGAATAGAAGTGGCAAGAGAAGGCATTCTTGTCTAGGGCCAGGGTTCAAAGGGAATGCTTCCAGTTTTTGTCCATTCGTGATGATATTGGCTGTGGTTTTGTCGTATATAACTTTTATGATTTTGAGATACATTTCATTGATACATAGTTTGTTGAGAGTTTTTAGCATAAAGTGCAGTTGAATTTTGTGAAGGCCTTCTCTGCATCTATTGAGATAATCATGTGGTTTTTGTCTTTGGTTCTTTTTATGTGGTGGATTAAGTTTATCAACTTGCATATACTGAACCAGCCTTGTCTCTGGGATGAAGCCTACTTGATTATGGTGGATAAGCTTTTTGATGCTGTGTTGCAATCAGTTTGCCAGTATTTTATTGCAGATTTTTGCATTGATGTTCACCATGGATATTGGCCTGAAGTTTTCTTTTTTTGTTGTATCTCTGCTGGGTTTTGATATCAGGATGAGTTGGTCTTATAAAATGATTTGAGAAGGATTCCCTCTTTTTGGATTGTTTGGAATAATTTCAGAAGGAGTGGTGCCAGCTCCTCTTCATACATCTGGTAGAATTAGGCTGTGAACCCATCTGCACCTGGGCTTTTTTTTGCTGGGTAGGCTATTAATTGCTGCCTCAACT